CTCTCTCTCTCTCTCTCTCTCTCTCTCTCTCTCTCTCATACTATCACTAATCAGTAATATAACTGCTATCAAACTTAACTCGTTGTTTATCTACTGGCGATTGGCCTCACAAATTGTGTGGCGTTTAATAGGGATCACAACCAGTAATACAACGCCTCTGTAGTAATACAATTTACTCTGTAGTATAGCAATTAATATCACTTATATTCCCAATGATATTAATGATATTTATATGATAACAGATATGAATGAGAAAAACAACATTTAATTAAACACTTCATTTGATTTCACAGAATAACATATATGTAAAAATTTAAATCTTTATACAAGGCCTTATTAATTAAAATCTATTAAATAGACTACTATTACTACGTATAATAAGCGATTGCGTGAATACGCGTACATTAATTAAAATCATCTACGTTAAATGACCATGATAAATATATAAATACCTGTAACACTCTGTAGTAATATTACAAATACTCTACTGTTTATTACACAATACTATTGTACAATAATATTACAGGTATATTAATAATGACTTTAAAAATGTACCTGTACACACTGTAAATTATGATAATAAATACTAAAATTCACTATGTTCAAAATCGATAAACACTAAATTATTTATGATAGCACTCATATACTGACTATAACTAGTAGCATAATTAATATTAATTTATTACAATCAATCTAGCTGATTTATTATATGTGAAATATGATTATATATGGTGAAATATAAATCTCACAATTATTTAACACAATAATTAATGTTCACATTTGATGTGTTTATTAATATGATTACAATATTTTGAAATCAAATGATAGTATTGTATGTTTTTCTGGCGACACATCTGTCTGTCTATCAAATATACAGGCAGTGAATACAACACATGTCTAATAGACATAATACTATATGGTGTATAAAACGTGCCTATTTTTACATAGATTTATATACCCTATGCGATCAATACTGTTTATGATCAATATGAATTATATGATAAAACTAGCTTGTTATTATGACATTGTTGAGTTAATAAATTATTTAATTTTTTATTTGTTTGTCTGGATATATAGCTTATATTTTTCATATGAAATATTTTACAAAAATTAAAATACTAACTAATAAATTAAATTGTAATTTTATTTTACATTTACATTCATGTAATTCTGACACTCGCTCACACCGTTGTAACGTATGTAACGTTATTAAAGGCTAACCCTCAGTGCCGCACATATTCACAACACATGCGCTAATCTTAGTTTCATATCTATTCTATGCTGAGAATATTCTGTGTATTTATCATCATGGTTACAATAATAACGTACTTATAAAATATTAACAAACAGTATAATATTTATAATTTATTTATTTAATCATTATAAAGTTACGTAAATATTCTATTTCAAGTTTTGCCGTTATGTACATGTTCATTTAATAATTAGTTAAATAATAAACATGTGAATGAAAATACATAAACAATTACCTTATTATAATTATTTACAACTAAATAAGTTAACATGTTGAAAATATAATACAATTATCTTAAGTAAAGTCGAGAATGGATAGTATATACACTCAATAGTATCAACAAATCATTACAATCCCCATATTTTGAAATCATAAGTCATTTGCCATTCATATAATGTTAAACTAGTCTCGTTATAATCAACATTTTTG